CTCTTCTCTTACTCCCCTAGTTCTATTTCATTAAGTTAAACTTTAGTAATTTACAGAGAAGCCCCTAATTGGGCAGAAAATTAAAAAGACATAACATAAGAAAGAATAAAGCCCAGATTAAGGCCCATTACAGCAAAGAACATAAAAGATAAAAAAGGATAAACAGTCTATGGGCCATTCGGCCCATCTTCTCTACACATTCTTACTTCACTCCTGGGCCTGGGTTACATGTGTCATTCTTTTCTGATTCCTGTTTTTTGCTTTTAGTGAAAATCCACCTTGTATATTTTTTTGTCCTTCCTCCATTCTGTTTTTGGGTGGCAGGAAGTTTTTTACTAATGAAATCTCTATTTTGTTATTTATCAAAAAAAAAAAATCTGCATAGCCTGATTATGCATAGTCTTCTGTGTATGAATTGGCCCACCATCATTAGATTTCCAAGTTTTCTATCGAATAGAGGACTGACTCACTATGCATCTATCCTAGTTAATCCTCAATTTTGCTAATCTATCAGTATGCATTTAGCTTCCCAGTAATTCTTCTGAAAAAAGTGATTAGGCTGCACAATAGATGATCAATAAAGGGGTGGTCGAAATATGTCTAATCTCATTGAGCATGGATGATAGCCTCGTGACTGAGTTAATTCTCTTGAGTCTTGCCCCATCTGATACCATTAGATTCCTTCCTTTATCATTAATGAATATGGCTTCCTTGGAATGGCAATCTAGGACCATAAAGTAGAGGTATCATCTTTGCCTTCGTAAAATTAACCTCTCAGATGAGGTTATTTTTACAACTCAATGCCTGATCATGCAGTTTAATCTACTTCCCAATCTTGAATCTCCTTTGCATAGCAGTTAATCTACCCCACAGGAGGATTCTGCTCCAAGCTCAGCACTCTTCAGAAGAAATCCCATAAGTCATAAATCCTTAAGGAAAGAGCATTATGAGAATATATAGTAAATCTGTTATTAATAAAAAAGAATATATAGTAAATCAACTCACTATTTATCAGCAAATTGTGTTGTGACGGTCTTTATAATTTCAGCAGTGCCTAGTTGAAATTTCTATTAATAGGTACATTGTGTTATGATGATCTTTTTTCTTTTCTTTTGAAACATCAATTTTGGCATGACAAGAAGCTACACTATTTCAATGTTAAGATGCCAGCTTTCTAAAAACTTGTCACACCTGCAATTGGTGCAACTTACCAAGATTTATTTCTTTGATATAAGAGAAAGCATAATAGGAAAGTATTAAAGCATTTATTGTATACGAACTTCGAGTGATAAAGATGTATTGTTAACATACTAGTGTAAATTATGTAGTTTTATAACTCATTTTTTCATGCTCTATTTCCTGGTCAGCATGAGGGAAGATGTCCAATTCATGCCATTTTTTTTTCCTTTTTTTCCAGTTGGCAGTGGAGGTCCTTATTGTTGGAGCTGTGAGATCTCTTTGCGTTTTTGCTCCATTTATTGCTTTTCAAGTGTATGGATATTTTAATATTTGTCATGGCCATTTGCCAGATGAAATGGAGCCTTGGTGCAAAAAAAGATTGCCTCTTCTGTATGATTATATACAAAGCCATTATTGGTATGCTATTTCTAAATAATGAATTAACTTTTCTGTTTTTTATCATAACTGATTGTGGCTTCATTAAAAATAATGAAGATTTGAAGCACAATGCACATGGAGATCTTTCATCTTTTAAAAAGTGATCTGTGTGCTATTGCCTTTTCGTTAATAAGGAACAATTGATTACCTTATACTAGAGCTTTATTCAAATACATATAAAGTGGTTGTTAGATTTTATGCTATTGTTGATGAGTAATTTCTTGTCAGTTATACTCCATATAAATGATATTGGGAAAGCGGTCCTACATATAATTAACTTTGTTGTTAGTTTAAGTGTTTTTTTCAACTGCAAAGTTCATGATATGATTTTTTGAAACACTTGTTTTTGTCCTTTAGTTTAAAGCATATGATGATGATACTTTTGTGTTCTGAGACTTTTCTATGTAAAACACTGGTCTTACATATTTAGATGCTCAAGGAGATCTTAATTTGCTATTTAAATCTCCTGCTTTCAACTATTATTTGTATGTGCGGTTAGACTCAATAATTGAGGCTTATTTTGTAGGAACTAGACTACTGTCTGTTGGTGTGAAAATTTAATAAATTCTCATGCAACATAATTCACTCAATCAAGTGATTGAGTTTTTATTATTTTGGGTAAGGCCCATTTAGGGAATCATACGAATTGTTCCCCTTAATTACATCCCCACAAGAAAGTAGAGAACACCTTTTGATTCTGACTTGGAGAAATGAACGCATAGAACAAAAGAAAAGAACAATAGGATACTTAAAAAAGAACTTTTCATTTGCTTTTCTTTTACATCAGGTGTACAAGAATGAGAAGAAAGAAAAAGAAA